GAGCGACGTTCTGCAATGGACCTGCTACATTATGATGATGATAACAAAAGAGGCCAACTGGACCCTTGAAAGGTTGTCTCAGCAAAGTTTTGTCATCTTCCTGAATCCACAACAGTTCTTCTCCTTCTGCATTCGCCTTTCAAAGTGTGGTCGGTATGTTGTGATGTGGTTTACAGCTGAGCGGCAATTTTCATTGAACTGGCTTAACATGGTGTCAGGAAATCTCTAAAGAAGGACATCATGATACCGTCCATCAATATGTCCTGTGTAACAAATGGACTAGCACCATACACCACACTGTCAGTCAGCTTCTGGGGTTTAGTCTTGCAGCGTCTAATGTGCGTATCCGTTTTACAGATATTGTTACACAGACTGTTAGTTTCTTGCCTCTCAGGCAGATCACTCCAACTTTGAAGGAAAAAAAAACGAATTAATCGTCTTTTACGCTTTTACGACATGCTTGTAGCAGCTGTTTGTGTCTCTTCCACACCCCCCGCCCCTATTTGGATGTGGTCCTGGAACCAACGGATCGTCATCATCAAGTGCTTAGCTGACTGGCAAGGGCGATCATGTCTCTACACATCAGACTCAGGCTTGAGTTAGAAGTAGAGCGGGGCACTTATGGGTTGCACCAGTAGGCCATGGTGTTGATCCGTTTAATACACATCAAATATATACAGTCGAGTCCACTTCAATCGAACTCGGATAGAGTCGACATGACCAGCTTAGTCGCGGCAATTTTCTCTGTTGTGTGTGCTGTCTGGATAAGTAGAAGTCCTGATAAGTGGAAGCATTTTCTGAGGTCCCTGCGACTTCTACTAATTCAGACTCGACTGTAACAGCATTTATCAGTCTGCATGTAGAGACCCTTTAATGCCTTGACAAAAAATGCTGTCAGGAGTCTTCTTGCACTGCCTCCATCTATGCCCCCCCCCCCCCCAATCTCTCCAGTCGTCACAGCAAGCTCTGCTCTTAACCCCCCTCCCCCCACACGTGATGACTGTCTCTTTCTGATTTTTGTGATACGTTGTATTCACCCTTTTCCTTTTAAAACCCCTATTAGCTGATGGGCTTGCAGAGAAAGCTACTGTGGAGCGCCGGACAAGCCATGAACCATGCTGATATTGTGAATGCTCTACGAGAAGTAAGATGTTTGCGAGGACCAAGTGATGACTGTGAATCTGCAACCATGGCCAGACTGCAAGAACAACTTAAAAGCGGTGGTGCCAGACAAGAGCACTATGCAGGAAGCCAAAGAAGAATAAGAAACCAACAGAGAACTGGTGTCACGAGCCACTACACGATGTTGGATTTACTGAGGACGGGATCCGAGCACTTAGGGACTGAACGGTTCGATGTGCTATGGGGATAATCTGTCGACTAACTGACTAACAACTGGATTATTAATTTTTGCTGTCTAAATAACTGTGAGCCTTCTCCTGTATCACCCAAATTGTTTGCTTGTTTGACTAACTGTTCACGATTTTCAGCCATATGTTAAAACTGGTTGTAAATAGCACGTGAGAATTCTTTTCCTAACTGCCTTTTAGTTGCATATCCTTTACAGGACGTTGCAGAACCAACCCCAGCGTTTTTGTCTGTTGTGATTTTTCTAGTCAAATTTACGTGCAGTAGTTTGCCATTGCTTTCTGGACGGGCATCTTCTCGATACCACTGTTGAAACCAACGCAAGGCGCAAAGCTGGAATCGAACCCAGCACTACAAAGCACGTTTGCAATGCCTAAGCCACAGATGCTGACAACCTTTCAAGGATTTATTTTATTAAATAAGATGGTTTCTATAATATAAAATGTGTTTAGTGCCTGTTCCAGCCTTCTCTTTATCTCTATGATACAGCTTCCATCTGGTGTTTTCTTTATCTCTATGATACAGCTTCCATCTTGTGTTTTCTTTATCTCTGTGATACAGCTTCCATCTGGCGTTTTCTTTATCTCTCTGATACAGCTTCCATCTGGCGTTTTCTTTATCTCTGTGATACAGCTTCCATCTGGTGTTTTCTTTATCTTTATGATACAGCTTCCATCTGGCGTTTTCTTTATCTTTATGATACAGCTTCCATCTGGTGTTTTCTTTATCTCTATGATACAGCTTCCATCTGGTGTTTTGTATATCTCTATGATACAGCTTCCATCTGGTGTTTTCTTTATCTTTATGATACAGCTTCCACCTGGCGTTTTCTTTATCTTTATGATACAGCTTCCATCTGGCGTTTTCTTTATCTTTATGATACAGCTTCCATCTGGTGTTTTCTTTATCTCTATGATACAGCTTCCATCTGGTGTTTTGTATATCTCTATGATACAGCTTCCATCTGGTGTTTTCTTTATCTTTATGATACAGCTTCCACCTGGCGTTTTCTTTATCTTTATGATACAGCTTCCATCTGGCGTTTTCTTTATCTTTGTGATACAGCTTCCATCTGGTGTTTTCTTTATCTCTATGATGCAGCTTCCATCTGGCGTTTTCTTTATCTCTATGTTACAACTTCCATCTGGTGTTTTCTTTATCTCTATGATACAGCTTCCATCTGGTGTTTTCTTTATCTCTATGATTCAGCTTCCATCTGGTGTTTTCTTTATCTCTGTGATACAGCTTCCATCTGGCGTTTTCTTTATCTCTATGATACAGCTTCCTTCTGGTGTTTTCTTTATCTCTATGATACAGCTTCTATCTTGGTGTTATTTTGTACCTTGATACTTACAAACATAAAAATGTTATACTTGTCCCTCCCAAGAACTTCCAGTCCAACATAGTTGGTGGCTTACCGCTGATGCTGAGAAAAGTTATTTCTGGCTAGGGTTTGCTGACGCAACTTTCCCACTTCTGGACCGGAAGTCCAAAGCTACCATTGCCAAGTTACTAAAGTGAGTGCTTTGTACAACACTGTTGGCTGTGAATTTTGTGTAAAATGCTCATTTAAACATTGTTTTATTGTATTAAAAAAAAAAAAAAAGATTTTCAAGAGTGTTCCTTAAATGGTTTTGTGTTGTGAACTGCAATAAATTCGGCAGGTGGCCGAATACGTTAGTAAAGGTGTGTACTTTTAAGCTTGTATCAACAGTGAGTTGCAATTCTGTTGTCAGTCTGTTACTGCTGTCACATGTGATAGATGCCTTATGCATTTACTTCATTTACGAGCTTCAAGATTTTGCTGGGAACGAGATTTGTTTTCACGAGTTTTCAACTAGGACAGTGAAGGACACTGATTCCCAACGGCACAGGAGAAAGGAGCAGTTATGAGGCAGGCCGCCTGCGGTGAAGGTAGAAACTCCACCAATGGTCAACAGATTGTCCAAAAATAACATAAAAATATACTAAATTAAATAGAAACATTTAAAAAACCACTGAATATGATATATGAACACCTTTGTATTTGACCTGCCCATTAACAACTTAGTATGGTACATTTTTATGAAACATACAAAACCAGCACGCAAAGAATAACAGACAACAAACAAGTTAATGGTTCAACTCAGCTAAGAAACACTTGAAAAGGGGGTGAAGTGAAAACAGTAAAATAGAGTCGAACCTAAGCCCATACTGACTAGTTGTTCAGCTTTGAATACTATCAGTATTGTAAATGTATGCACCTATAAATAAGCAAATTTTACGTGGAAATGTAATGGTACAAATATTACAATACGGTCTGAGCTACCATACAGTAAAAATATTACATTACTGTCTGAGCTACCACACAGTAAAAATATTACTTTACTGTCTGAGCTACCACACAGTAAAAATATTACATTACTGTCTGAGCTACCACACAGTAAAAATATTACTTTACTGTCTCATGTATCTCACAGTATAAATGATTATTTATTTTCTAAGCTATCACACAATACACATGCTATATTACTGTGTGAGTTATACAATATAAAATTATTACATTACTCTGTGAGCTATTTGTGTAAATATATTACATTACTCTGAATTATCAGAGTACAAATATGACATCATTGTCTGAGCTGTGTTACAAAATACAAATGTCTGTTTTCGTTATAATATACTATAAATTTATTTCAATACTATGTGAAAAGGTTACCTTATTCTGTGTGATATCACACACACCGCAAAACTATTACGTTACTGCCTGAGCTTATTTTACACTAAAAATGTAAAGCAAAAACACATAGCACTGGTAACTATTTTTTACATTAATAAAGGAAATAAAACTATGTAGAAACAATATCTGACGCTGAAAACAAGTCAGTTTTATGTGGAAATGTAACTGCAAATACTCCATTACTGTGTGTGCCATCATAAATGTTTACCGCAAAAAAAAGTACATTAAAAAAATGTATACAGAAATTCCAGCCTTGAATCAAAACAGAACAACAAATATTAATGGAAGTAGCAAACAAAAGACATGTGATTTCTGTATATAAAGATCAAGAATGAAAATGTAACATTATAAACATCATTTAAAAAAAAAAATATGTTCATCCACTCTAATCAAATCACCCTGCCATGTGAGCAAGCACTGATGAATTCAAGTAACATCAGATGATCACTCTCATCTCCAATCCTTTAATCTCTAATTCCAGCTCCTGTATAAATACAGCACGCTTCTCTGACCTCGTTACATGACAAAGCAGCAATTTTATTATTTTCTGCCTCAAACAGTTCAACCAAACCAACAGCCATCTTATTCTCATATCATCAACTTCTGAAACTTCATATACCATACAGCCTTCACGGTTTTGTTAAAATTTCATCCGCCTTTGAAAGCGTGTCACATGATGCAGCAGCCATTTTATTCTCATTTCCTCACACTTCTGATACATTTTACACTATTCATCATTTATTTTTAAATTTTAAACATGTCACCGACTTTTGAAACATGTACCCCACATCTTTTCTTTCAATCAACTTTTCATTCACCTTTAAAACCTCATCACGCGATGCGGTAGCCATTTTATTACGCTTCCCAGACATTACATTGTTGCATTACAAATTAAACATTCTAGTGTTACAATTTATTCATCTAGTACTGTTGTTCGGACAATGATCTCCGTCACACTGTATGGATCACAGTTGGATGAAGGTCTTCGGTCTTCCAGGTACCCTTTCTTATCTTCTGCAACGTGGCGGGGAATTCGAATACTGGCTCCTCTGCAGAAGAAAAACATCAAAATGTCAAAGTACCTGGAGGCACTTTTTATATATTATTTTTACAAAAGGAGAAAAAAAAAAGCTGTTTACAAGCAACATTTTAGGTGTTTAGAAGAGTGATGAAGTGCCATTTTACAAGAGGGGCTGGTATGATTTCAATGAGAGTTATATTTCAGATACTCATAGGAAATAAAGTGGTATGGTTTTTAGTGTTTATAAGAACAGATAATGTGACAGTTTCACATGTTTACAATGAGACACACTGATACGGTTAACGGTGTTTACAACAGAGGACAAAGTGATATAGTTTAACATGCTTAAAAGTAGTGAATAACTGGTATACAAATAGTTTCTGATGTTTACAAGAGACGATTTCAAATATTTCTATGCAGGTAAAATTACAGAAAACACAGTAATAGAACTTGACATGTTTACAAAAAGAAATAAAGTGATATAGTTTTAAGATGTTTAAAAAAAAAGAATAAAATAAAAGATAAAGTGATAAAGCTTCAAAGTTTAGAGATAAAATTACAAAGTGACAATTTCAAATATTACTAAGAATGTTTACAATAGAGGACCATGATATAGGTTGACAGGATTAGAGATAAAGTTACGAAGTTACAGTTTCAAATGTTGCTAAGAATGTTTACAATAGAAGAGCGTGATAAAGCTTCACAAAATTAGAGATCAAGTTACAAAGTTACAGTTTCAAATGTTACTAAATATGTTTATAATAGAAGACCTGATATAGCTTTGCACGATCAGAAATAAAGTTACAGAATGACAGTTTCAAACATTACTAAGAATGTTGAACACGATAAAGCTTTACGTGTTTACAGAAGAAGATCATCTTGTTCTGCATTCATCCGAAGATGTAATTGCTTTGTGTCCATGTACAGTATGGTTGTGATATTTGCAACTTTCTGCAGACATATCTTGACTTCAGGGGTTTGTTCCCCGGTGTTAACCTTCCCAGCCAGGTCAGAAAATGTCTTTCTTTCTTTGTGTTCAACAGCGGTAAACTTGAGGGGAAAGTTCTAATTATTCATCAATTTATGGATTTTAGTCTTGTCTCAGAACCTGAACATCTATTCTACAGATTTGGCTGATGTGACACGCTGCATGGTTCCTTGCCTCTCAGGCAGATGCAGATGAAGGAAACCCCTAATTAGTTGACTCATATGATATCCTTGTTAGGGAGGCAGTAGGTCGATTCTTCCCCCCCCCCCCCTCCCATAATGGGACCCTGGAATCCAAACAGGGGGAAAGAGAAGAAAGAGTTCTGTTAGTCTCAGAGTGGACAGACCAGACAAAGTAACAATAAAAAAGACAACCTGTGGGTATGCAAGATCTGAGACGCTTGCAACTGTTTGGCAAAAAATGGTAGCCTTGAAATAAACTAGGTAAATAATCTGTAAATTGAAGAAAAACACACAGAAGCAATGTCAACAGGAAGACACAAGTAGAAGTTAAAATATGGCAGTAGAAAGCAAAGATATTAAACAGGCTCCGGAGTTTAAGTATCTGAGAACAATACTCACCAAAGATGCCAAATTGGTTAAAAAAAACAACATCCGATGCAGTAATGAAAACCAAGTATTTTAAACCCCCCCCCCTCACCCACCCCCATTTACAGCACAAATGAAGGTATCATACCAAGTATATCCATCCCCATTTTATGCTACAAGTGTCAGACATGATCACTCACAACAAACCAGAAAAGAAAATAAGTAACCAAAGAAATACAAGTACCAGAAGAGGTGAAATTAGAAATTAAGTCATAAAAGAAACATGTGTTGCAAAGAACCAATAGAAAATACATACAAAGATGGCAAATAAAATGAGTTGCCCACCTACAGAGCATGCCATACCTTACAAGACAAAAGAAAAAGAAAGACCTAGAGCACAAAGTAAGATAAAGAACAAGATTAAAAAGATAACAGAAACTTAACAGCACAATATGTCTATGGTCAAGCAAACTTGAAGAGCAAGAAGCAGAACTTTATTATTTCTCCCTCAACACACAAAGCAGTATAACAGGAAATAAAGACGAATGATCAACTAACCGAGGAAATGCACACACTTGAACCAGTAGAAAGGTGAGTGTGTGGTCCAATGACCCCAAGAGATGTGCCCTTGGTAGCTCAACTACTGGTCAGGTCTCCCTTATTTACAAGAAATTCAAGATTGGGGACTCAGATCTTTGACCATGTGGGCAGGCACCACAAAATACGAAACATGTGCTATAGACACATCTCTACATGCAGTGGAGAGATCCCCGGGCCTGTCCGGTCAGCATTCCAATGGAAATAGAGCTGTCTGGAACAGCGGAAGACATGACTTACACCAGACTTCACAGGGGCCAGTGGCCCTTCAGGGAGAATGACAAGAAGAAGCACTAAGTTACAGACTTGACAATACAGTACAACTCTCTTCATGAGAAAGAACAAAGCACAGAGAGAAAAGGTAAGGTTACCTGTTAGCGACACCAGCAGAGAAGGAATCAATACTTGAAGTTTCATGAGATCCCAGGAGTCTTCTCATGTTGTCTTTTCCACCGTTGGGATCGTAAGCTCGTATGTGTTCCATTTGTTTCTTGCTCAATTTTTCAATAGCTTTTTCAATGGCTCTGAAAGTGACATGATAAATACAATGATGCCTCCACTTTCAAACTCTAAACAATTAAAATACATTGGTACCTTCATTTTTTCATGATTATAAAGAATAAAAAATACATTAGTGCCTTCATTTTTCAAGTCTAAACAATTACAAATATATTTGTGACTTTGTCATGTCGAAACACAAATATTTTGGTGATATCTGTCATGTCAAACACAAATATTTTGATGATATCTGTCATGTCAAACACAAATATTTTGGTGATATCTGTCATGTCAAACACAAATATTTTGATGATATCTGTCATGTCGAAACACAAATATTTTGGTGATATCTGTCATGTCAAACACAAATATTTTGATGATATCTGTCATGTCAAACACAAATATTTTGGTGATATCTGTCATGTCAAACACAAATATTTTGATGATATCTGTCATGTCGAAACACAAATATTTTGCTGACTTCACTTTTCATGTCAATAAACAATTAAAAATACACTTGTGACCACTTTTCATTCTAAAAACAGTTTTTTTTTTTAAACACTGGTGACTTTATTGTTCATGTCTAAACAATTTAAAAAAATAACATTGGTGACTTGAATATAACCCACACAGGGCATAAATACAATGCATACAAGGGATAAATATAACCTGATTTTACTTACTCTAAACCGCCATCCTTTCTCATAGCCTCTGTGCTGTAGTTACAGTGAGCCCCAGCTCCATTCCAGTTGCCAGTCATGACTTTAGGATCAAACGTGACCACCACATTGAACTCCTCAGCGACCCTGTGTAAGAGGTACCTGGCCACCCAGAGTTCATCCCCCATTGAAATTCCTTCGCAAGGTCCCACTTGAAACTCCCACTGAGGAATTAAATGTTTAAAATTGAAGTATACACATACCAGATACCAACAAATGATACCTGTGATACCAACAAATAATATCACTGGTACCCTGATACAATATATGGCACCATAAATGGTATTGAAAGCCTTAACTTGTCACTTTTTGTTATCCAACCCTGGTCTCTCAGCACTCCAGAGCTGAATGCAATTTACAATTTTAGGCAGAAAATTTCAAAAGATTAAGGGACAAACTAAGAATGGATTTTTGACATATACTGAAGTGAATCAATTATGAACAGTTGGTAGATTAGTTAAAAATTATTTGGAAGCAGCGAAGATGTGGTTTGATAGATATATGATGAGAATACCCTAGACACACACAAAAAATAGTAATGAAAAAGTCTTGAAAGAAACTGACTCACGAAGAGAACTGATTGCCCACATCAGAAAGAGACAATCAACATTCTTTGGTCAAGTAATGAAAAGGATAAAGCTGGCGTACATCGCAACAGAGGAAATTTTGAGGGGAATAGAGGCAGAGGGAGACAGAGAGAGAAGATGCTGGACAGTCTGACATCATGGCATGGAGGATAATCTGTGTCAGAGATGACAAAGTACACGAGGCAGAAGGTTGTGAATAGACAAGACTACCAATGCCCCATGGCATGGGCTTTAAGAAAAAGAATAAGTTTCTTTGCACTCATAATTTTGATTTTTTAATAATGGTGACAGCTGGTATGTAAGTGCACTTGCAATCTGAAATCTGGTTTCAATTTGGCTGTCAATTCTGCCATCTTCCATGATCACACATCCTAGACATCTAAATTTCCCAACAGATTATGACCAGCACCATTCAGTTTCATGTGTAGTGGGCCAAGGGTCTACTAACTTGCATTGTTTTGGTTTTGTTTGCATTGATCTTTGAATTGTACTTACTGCATGTTGAGTTTAACCTCGCAAAAAAAAAAAGCTGATGTATGCAGAGTTCAGCCATACAAGAATCCAGCAGACCTGCTTCTCCTTCGCGACAACATGCACTCTCACACAATTCTGGAAACATGGGAAACAATCACCAAATTGGGGTGCAGTGTACTACCCAGATTTAAAAGAGACGAAGGAGGGATTCATGCAGCGAAGAAATAGCTACATGATCAGGACAACCTCTGGTATGGGCTAGGAACTAAATTGTACAAGTTGATGGGGATTACATTGAATAATACGTGATATACCCATGCAGGTGTCAAAAACAAGGGACCCATTTCCACACATTTAGGCATACTGGGCATATAGGGCTAGACCTTATTTGATAGACTAATTGGCACTTGGTGGGGGATGTGGTCGACCTTCTCAAATTATTTTATTACAACTATTTATGATAACTGTTTTATTATTTATGTGTAATCCTATCATATCCCACACTATTATCTGTAATATGTAAGTAAGTAAAGGTCCCTTCTCCACGCCTTTAGGCATGTAGGGCATATAAGGCTAGATGGGCGATGTGGTCAGCATCATGCGGCCACCTTTGCTTCCCAGTACCCAGTACCCACTCCAGTCTGGGTCAACTTGGGAGTCTGTAATACGTACGAGACCTTCTTACAACACATAATCACACCCTGTCCTCCTCACCTGTGAAGGCATGACCTCAGCATTACAACCACTGATGTTAACGCCAGCATACAGACATGCCCGATAGTGCGCCTCAACAACATCTCTGCCATAAACCTTGTTTGTGCCGACACCGCAGTAGTATGGGCCTGAAAAAAAGATTTCAGTAAATTATTAAACACCCTGTACACAATACACACCATACTTCCTCCTTCTTGTTAGCGTTGACAAGCTGTAAATTCTGGCAACAAGTTCTGGTTAGTTATCCACTTCTGAACCTTGTCCTGTTTTAGAATTTGCAGGCAGTCTTCTTCTTCATTCACCGCCTGTGAATTCCGGTTGAAGGTCCCATTAATTCGTCCATTTGGCTTTTACATGGACCTGACTTTTGCGTGTACATCCGTTTTACTGGCTTCTTTGTTTGTCATTCCCTGCCTCAGTGGCAGATGTACTCCGACTTTGAGGGAGAATCTGCTTGCATTAATTTTACAGATTTTACTTATCTGTATGCAGACTGTTGGTTCCTGAACTCTCAGGCAGATGCACTCCAACTTAGAAGAAAAACCCCCTAGTTAAAACATCCTACATGAGATGGCTGTTAGACGGTCAGAGGGTCAATTTTTTTTTTCTCCGTCCCAACGGTGCCCTGGAACTTTATCCCTCTTCTTCTTCAAATTCACAGGCTGTAAACTCTGCTGCAAGGTTCTGGACTCTTGTCCTCTTCCAAAAACTACTGAGTATTGCGTGCACATCTACTTCATAAATCTGACTCATCTGCATAAAGACTGTTGGTCTCTTGCCTCTCAGATGTACTCCGACTTCCAAGGAAGCTCCCAATAGTCGACTCTTACGGTAGGTGGTGGGTCTATTCATGAGTTTGTCACAGTGCGCCCCGAAACCCACACTGGGAGAACCCTATACTATATACTAGGGCTGTACCGAATATTCGCTTCGTATTCGCTTCGGGACCGAATAGTGGACCTATTGACTATTCGGTATTCGGCCGAATAGTTGCGGTCGGGCCGAATACGAATAGTTGATAAGACCAGTCGTGTTATATGGCTCTGAAACTTGAAGCAGAAATAAAAAAGATGAGGCCTTATTATAGGTTTTCGAAAAAGAGTCTTACGACAAATCATTGGACCCATCAAAGATGCTAACAGCGGGGAATGGAGAGTGAGAAGCAACAACGTAACACATAATCTGTTTAAATCACCACTGATCACTGGCATCATGAGAGCTAACAGACTAAAACGGTTGGGGCATTTTGAAAGAATGTTAGATGACAGAAGTAAAAACTGTATACACCTGAGAGAGGAATGGGCGTAAACCACGAGGCAGACAAAAAATAAGATCGAGAGATAATGTCCAGCCAGACCTGCAAACAACTGGTGTCACAAATTGTGAAGAGAAGGCCAGCCAGAGAGATGAATGGAGACGAATGATACCTGCAGCAGTAAACCCCAAGGGCTCAGAATGCTAAAGAAGAAGATGACAATTCTGTGTTACTTTATGTAAAGTAAAAGTTCAGCATAAATTTGACACTATGAATGTTTTTTTTATTTTTTTAGATATATTTTATACACTATACACTATTTGTATTCGGCCGAATAGTTGGTCCCGTTATTCGTATTTGGCCGAATAGTGAAAATCACTATTCGGTACAGCCCTACTATATACAAACCAGCAATTAGTGAGGGGAAACAACTAAGGCCACAACTGACATTTTAATCTATCATCCCCAGCCAGCCAGAGCCCTTAACTTTTCTGTTCAGAAAACCACCTGCAGATATATATATGGGAGATAACACCAAGAGATGGACACAAATTTCTCGTCCTTTTTAGGATGAAATTTTTCGTTATTTGAAGGGGCCGCAATATAGCCTGGCCATAAATATGGCCTAGGGGCTGAACGCGGTTTCTGGGACCTCTCCACGGTGATCCTCACCCACATGGTGGCACATTGTGTCATCGGGTGTTTATCGCTTGTGTAATGTCCTGGTGGAGTAGAAAGTCAGGTCAGTCAGTCAAGAGACGGAGTAAGTGCATTTTGAGACAATGAGAAACAGGGACGAGAGTGCTGAAGATCCATAACAACAAACCTTTACTGTAGAGACGATACTACAACACTAACTGACCTGGATTAAATTATACCTAACAGCAGCCAATATTCAGATCCAAATACTTAGGAAACTCCAATACCTGCACCAAAACTGATTGTACCTGCAGCAGGTTGATTGCATCCAACTTGACCTTCATCTTGGTGTAGAGTGTTGGAAAGATCACATGGTCACCTCCCCGGCCCTCTTTTTTTTTTCATTCACTCAACATAAAGATCTATTAATTTTCCCATATTTTTCGCTTGCTCCCACAGGGCTTTGACAAAATATAGCTTGTCCAGCATCAAATCAACACACACTGGGGAACGACCAACCAATCTGTTAATTTTCCAACACACCTGCATACTCTGGAGAAAATATACACAGGATGCTAGTTTCTGGGGACCTCTGAAGCCATGCTTGCTACTCTGAATAGAGCATGCCTTTCTCAGCATGTTTTAAGTCTTGCAGCCATGTGTTGTCAGCTGGTTCTCAAGCCAGTGAAATGCTGCTGTACTGCCTTTATCTCTATTCTCAAGCAAGATGCTGTGGCATAACACAGTAAGCTTATAATATGCAACATCCGTCTGCTTTTGCAATGAACATCCATGCATTTTTTCTGCATTCTTAACAAGGTGAGTAAATGCAGGAATTATCTGCCACAGAAGAATGTCAGAAAAGTACACTTTCTTTAGACTAACATATGGTGTGTAGCTTGATACAGAAAGTCTCACTCTGACAGATCCATGACCTTACCAGGGTATGGCAAGCTTAAGTACAGTGAAACTAACTAAAGACTGAAAGATCACTATCGCTTTTAGTGGACTCACAGCCAAACATCAATTTAAGCAAATAACCCAAGAAAACTAAGTAACCCCAACAACCAACCCCTAACCCCACCAACCTACAGCCAACTACACAAACCAAACCAATTATTCAAACATGCCACCTCACCCTGTGGTCCTGGGTAGCCATTCTTGGGCCAGCCTAAAGGATAGCCATCATAGTCCAAGAGAGAGTACTCCTGCTCAATGCCAAACCAAGGGTGATCATCCTTGGCTTTCTCCATCACTTCAGCACAACTTTTCCTTTTGTTAGATTCTGTCACGAGTAAATGTAAACATTAGACACTGAAGTAGCTACAGACAAAGTGTTAAGTTTAGAATAAATGTAAACATTAGACAATAATGTAACCACAATGTTTGTAGTGCTTAGAATAAATGTAAACATCAGATGGAAGTGGCCAGAGTATGTGTGTTAAGTTTAGAACACATGTAAACATAAGACACTGAAGTAGCCACAGACAATGTTTGTGATGCTTAGAATAAATGTAAACATCAGATGGAAGTAACCAGAGGCAATGTGTTACGTTTAGAATAAATGTAAACATAAGACACTGAAGTAGCCATAGACAATGTGAGTGATGCTTACAATAAATGTAAACAGATGGAAGTAGCCAGAGATATCCAAGAGGAACACTATGATGAATGTTTATAACACAGGCCAGAGGCATATGACGAGATTCTATGCATGAATTTACAAGGATTGCACAGGATCAAGCCTTAAATAACATACATAAACAGCACACGAGGATGTTAACGATAATTCCAAGAAATTATGGTATTTACAGTGTGCTACCCATCTACGAGTATACATATTTTCCATTAATTATTTTATTTATTATCATTTACTGATTCCCAATATGGCCTGGGTTTTTTTTTAGTCCATCTGGATATTCATTTCATTTCATATTATGCTTTTCAGATAGCTTCTGTAGCAAATATACTAGTTCACTATTGTCAGCAATTATAAGATGGAGAAGATGGTGCTATAATAAACACAGTCTGAGAACAGATGAACAGAAAATCACTACCAAACAGGCACTGAAATGGGAACCAAGGGACTGACGCAACAAGAACAAGAGAAACCCTACAGCGAATGCTGATTGGAGAAGTGAAAAAGATGCTGGACTGAATTCCATCCACGATAAAGGATTTGCCCAGGATACAACAGAATAGAGAAAAAGACAGCTTTATGTGATATATAATGGCATCATAGGACAATGAAAGAATGAATAAATGAATGAATGAATTTATTTCAGACAGCTGTGGTATTCACATTTCCTATCCATCCAAAAACCTGTTTACAGCTTTTAATCATCATCTTTATCATCATCATAAACCACTTCTGCCATTAAGCATCGTGGGAATTAATAAACTGCGATCCAGTGCACGCTGGCTGCCACTGGTTACTGTCATGCTGTAAAGGCGTAGAGTGTCTTTAATGTTGTCAATCCATTTTTTGCGGCCGTCCTCTTGATCTTGTAGCTGATCTTCTAAGATCTGTCATGGTATTTGATCTTGCTGCATTCTAACGAGATGACCAAACAACTTTACAATGCTTTACATGTTACAATGATCTTAGAAGTTAATGTGATGGTTTTTTCCTGCCTGCTAATGCTGTCTCCCAGGGAACCATGAACTCAGGGAACCATGAACTCAGGGAACCATAAACTCAGGGAACCATAAACTCAGGGAACCATGAACTCAGGGAACCATGAACTCAGGGAACCATGAACTCAGGGAACCAAGAACTCAGGGAACCAAGAACTCAGGGAACCATGAACTTACCAACTGGCAGCTTGTTATACTTGTAGACATCACACAGGACCAGCTTGTTGTTGCCTCTCCTGAAGGGATCTTTGAACAGTGCGACAGGGTACAGATACAGATCAGAGTTGGAACCTTCAGACTGGTAGGTGCTGGAGCCATCATAGTTCCAGATTGGGCAGTCTACATTGTGGAAACAAACGTTTAAAGATAATGGCAGAGAAAACAACCATTTAAAAAAGTAAATTTAATTATGAGGACATTAACAAAATATCGCACAATTTACTGCCTGGCATATTTCACTGAATTTCATCTAGTGAGTTATGACAGGTTTATGTCAACATAATCAACATCTAACGAGCTCTCTGTCTCTCTCTCTCACTCACTCACAAAAAGAGATGCATTATAATTAATAGAAATACACTCCCCTAATTGGTAGCTGAAGCCCCATTACAGGTGAAAAAAGAACAGACCCACTATCTTCCTAATAAGAAAACCTTGTGCTTTGAAGGTAAGGGCAGAAAAAAAAATATTTAGCATTTAAAAGCAGTAACAAAACACTGGCAGAAGAATGAAGAAATGAATTCTTCAATCGACTGTGAAATGATATCCCTGCACTTGGGATATTCCCACATGCGCTCTATCTTCCTCGCGTTAACAGCCTACCCAAAAGCATGTCGTAAGATTGGACTAATTGGGAGCTTCCTTTCAGAGTTTACAGCTGGTGAATGCGAAGAAGAAGAAGTCCTAAACAAACTCTGAAATAACCGTTAATGAGAGAGAAAAAAAAGGATGCACGCTATTGATATGTTTGCACAGGAGTTCTTCCTTTTTTGTCACATTTGTCAACTCCAGTGAAAAGTTCTGGTTGTTCATCCACCTCTGGACTTATTCCTGAACCTGAGTTTTGCATGCAAATCTGTTTTACAGATCTGGCTTATCTGTATGCAGACTCCTGGTTTCTTGCCTCTTGAGCAGATGCACTTCGACTTCAAAGGATTCTCCCAATAGGTCGACTTCTACGACATGCTTGGTGGGTAGGCAGTGGGTCTATTCCTGTTTTTCCCACAATGGGGCCTCAGAACCCACACAAGGAGCACAGGATTCAATAGAAGGGAAGACTAGCCTACGAGCCCTATGTGACATAACAGCATGATGAACATACTTTAAGGGAACATTATGCTTAACATTACTATCATAGCTCAGTTCAACTTTGAAAAATGTCCATAGAAGACATGTTAAGTGTAGACTAAATTTATTTTTTTTCAATTTGTCCTCATGAACTGTGGCACAAACACACAATCTTAGTAATTCTAACAGCCACTTTCTGGGTGTGAATCTCTCAGCAGCAAATCCCAGAAACCCTGTTCAACCCTAAAAAAATTTGCATTTTGGCACCCTAGGGTTACAAAGTAACCTGCTGTCCTGTGGGCTGGGCAGTAATCATGTATGTATGTAAGTTGTACCCCACCAGGACATCACACAAGCGATAAACACCCGGTGACACAAAGTGCCACCAAACAGATGAGGATCACCCAGGGAGAGGTCCCAAAAACCCCTGCAGCTGTTAGGCCATATTTTATTGAATGGATTGGATTGGTACCTTTCCGTCTTTTCAGATTAGTGAGTCATTAGTGTAAGCCATGTTTATGGCCTGGCTATATTTAGGGACCCCAGCAAAAGTCAGGGTGGGGCTTCAAATAACTAAAAATTGCATCCCACATGGGGATGATGAGATGTAAGTAATCATTTACTTTGTTGTTTTACTTATTAAGGACTATGTTACCTGTTTCCTTTTTAACAACATAACTACTGCATATTTTTTTAAATTAACTCATATTAATATACAAAAGAGATTAATGTGACTTATTTCATGCTAAAACAGAGATTATGAAGGCTTTAGAATTCTAAAACTGTTGCAGTTAAAATGACATTTGGCCAGATAAAACTCGACTGACAGATAAATAACCCCTGTATGGTTTTCAATTATGAACAGCAGGTACTTCTAATTTTGTTTAACCCAGTTAAGGGGCTAGATAGCACAACACCCTCACTGGTTCAAGGTCCAAGTGAATACTCGGCTATCTCCCTAACCTAGATCTGAGTCAGCAGCATTTTAATCTTACTTTAACAGAGGGCTGTTATTTAGTCCCTTGGTGAACATTAAACCATAACTAAGTTTTAATCAAAGCTGTCTTCAGCAGGGATGAACATGGTCAACTTTTTTTTTGTAGTTTTTATTTTTTGTTGTAAAGAACCAACTACCAAATAGTCTCATCTTGAAACAGTAAAGTGTTGTTACCTGTGGTAACCTTTAATGAACCTCTGAAAATTAGTGTCTGAACTCTTTAATTCTCACAATGATTTTTGAGGTTTAACATCTACAATTGTTTAAACTATTTGCCTAGACACTTGTTACTTCAACATATTCTGTCTCAGAGTGTATGTACTTTATAGTAACAATCTCTAAGTATAAATGAGAATAATACTAGGACTACTATGCTCCTTTGTGATGCTGACCACATCACCCATCTTGTGCCGATTAGTCTATAAAAATATAGGTCTAGCCCTATATACCCTAGTCGCCGTGGCGTTGTGGGTTCTTCGCTCCCTGGCGGAGCTGGACTTTAAAAAAAAATGACCTTGACTCCCAGGTTGAGTGCAGTCCCGGGAAGTAAAGGCGGCCGGCGTGATGCTGACCACATCACCCATCTTGTGCTGATTGGTCTATACAAATATAGGTCTAGCCCTATATGCCTAAAGGCGTGGAAAAGGTCCTTTACTTTTTTTTTTCACTATGCTCCTTAGAGGGATGCTTAAAAGGTGATTAATTAGGGCTTATTCCTTCTGAATGCACCTGCCTGGGAGGTGAGGATCCTACATACTGCATACAAATAAAATACGCTAAATCCGTCAAAGGATCAACCAGAACTTTGCACCACAGTTTACAGCCACTCCGTGTGGGTTCCGGGGCCCTATTATAAGGAAAACAAGAATAGACCCACTGCCTACCCAAAAGCATGTCGTAAGAGTCGACTAATTGGGAGCTTCCTTCGAAGTCGGAGTGCATCTGCCTGAGAGGCAAGGAACCAGCAGTCTGCATACAAGTCAGATCTGTCAAACGGATGCACACGCAGGTTCTGGAATAGGAGTCCAGAGGTGGATGAACAACCAGAACTTTTCACCAGAGTTTACAGCTGGTGAACGCGACAAAGAAGAAGAAGTTTACAGCCAGTGAACATGAGGAAGAAGAAGTCACCAGAAACATGATTTCCTATGCCATTTCTGTACGATTTCCCACTGAAGTTTTCACGGAACTTCATTAGTGATTAGTGGTGACTATCACCACAGCACTCTGGGCAATTCCATGAGTACTCTGACCACCTCCCCAATACTTCTTTCTTCTGCCCTCTATCCCCCAGTGGGGTATACACCATCAACCAACTCAAGCCAAGACATTCTATCCTTTGATATTGCATGCTGCTCACCTCATATCCTGCCCATCTTTTTATCTTCTCTCTCTAGCTTCCTTCATGCATTTTTTTGGAGGAGTCTGCCTTTATTGTTAAGTCCCTGTGAGTTCCAGTGCAGAGACATTTTAGTTACACTGTTCTCAGGTTTTCTCAATGTGTGTCCTATCCATTGCCGGTGTCTTTTCTTCACTTCTTCATCCACCAGAACTTGTTTTGTTCTCTCCCAAAGCTAAACATTAGTGATTCTGTCATATTATTTAATTTCTATTTTGCACAGGCACCAGTTAATAAATGTTTGTAGTTTATTAGTAACTGTCTTAGTTGTCAACATTTCTGCTCCGTTCAGCGCTGCTGATTTGAAAGAATTAAAAATGTTAAGTTTAGTACTAGTTTTATTCTGTTACAAATTTCCTAGTGCTATGAAAGTTCCTCTTGCCTTTTGTATTTATATTTTAATAACTCTATCAGTTCTCCCATCTTCATCTGCATTACTGCCTACAATTGTGTATGACTACATCTTGGAGTGGGATACCATTAAGAGAAACCACATAACTATTTGCCTGGTTTATTCTCATTATCTTTGCCTTTCCCTTAGGGATTTTTAGACCAGTTGTTGTGATCTCGCATCAGGTATATTTAATTTACTTCACATCTGATTTTGAGAGAAATAGAAGACAAATATCATCTGCAAAGTCCAGTTTATCAAATTTGTCCTTATAATTCAATCTACTGCCCAAAAAAATAGGAGAGGCGACAGAAAACATCCCTGTTGCACATCTGTTCTCTTATTTTATATTTATCAGTTAGCTTTCCTTCATGAAGAACTTGAAATTTCACTGTCTTTATATGCTGCTTTAACTAAGTTAATACTATTAGCATAAAATGACAGATCATACCTGCTCTCTACTGACTAATGATATTGAGTAATGAAATGTCTTGTACCCTAAATGTGATTTTTGAGGATTATTATCACAGTAGGCGGGTAGATCCATAGGTACTTCAAAATTCTTCCCCTCACCAGCTGTTTTTCTTCTTCCTTTTCTTCTCTACCCCCCTGTACGTCATCGATGTTGGGTGGGTGGGTGTGGGGGGGGGGTGGGGGGGTGGGGTGTCGGTGGGTGGGTGGGGGGGATGTAACAGCTGTACAAGAGTATGTGTTCTGTATTCATTAACAATATGTCTCATGCCCTAAATGAGATCCTATTTATCATCTCTTTTTTGGGTGAGATCCACGATAATTTCCCCAGCCAAACTAGGTCGCGTCCCACTGATACATTTTTAAGACTCATCTGCTGTCCAGGGGGTTACGGCTATGTTTTCCTTTCTGGCTTGTCTTGCATTTACGGTTTTCTTCCGAGAAACAGAATGCCTGTGACATCGTTTGCAGCACTCTCTAGGGATGTTGTTAAAAGCGCTGGCGTGCTTAAATATACAGCATGCGATATCAACACATTGCCGAACACCTCCGCCACCAGTATGCAAACGTCAGGTAATTGGAGGTTGGCCAATCAGGAGTGAGCTAGCGTGTAACATGAGGAGATTATCGTGGATCATACCCTTTTTTGCATCTCCATCAGCCTGCATATGGAGTCTTTTGTCTTCATCTTGATCATCAATCACAATGATGGATTGTTGCAAAATATTATTTAAAAAAAAATACTTTTGCCAGGAACTTGATGATTATGAATCACTGCAATGCACTGAAAATTTGTTAAAACATTATTGGTTGCAATATCCTACTCATAATTCTAAACAACTCACCTGCAGCCTTCTTGGGTACAAAGTCAAGAGTTCTACACTTAGATCTGACACCCTCGTCAGTTCCATCGATCCAGATGTATTCCACCTGAGTTAAGCCGGAGGGCAACTCAAGTGACTCAAATTTGTGAAGTACTGATTTGTCAGTAGCCCCAGGAATGGTTCTCTCCGCCTGGGGTGAAACACAATTCTTATAGAATTTAGTCTGCAACACAACTAGAATCCTAATGTGCCAGTTTCATGGCTTGTTAAAATTCCTCGACTGGTTTTAATTATTTTTCCACCAGTAATTTATTTTTCTTCTGCATTTGCCCTAAAAAAAGGTGACTGACAGAACCATGTAGTCTCAGAATGAACAGGTTATTCATTATGTTGATTCCCAGAATCCTCAGAAAAATATCTAGAACACAAATTTGCAGCGAGCCCCAGGGCTACCATATTAATGGGGCAATTAAAGTCCAATCCCAATTGAAAATCTACTGTTAAGTAGTTTTTTTTTTAAGGCCCCCCCCCCCCCCCCCCCCCCCCCAAATTTACATCTCAAGGATGAGAATCAAATCTGGGCAACCCCGTTCAATACACAGTTTAACAAGTGATGTGTGTGTCATTTAACCCCCACCCGAGCTGTAAAATGAGCGACCAATACCCGGTGACACAAAGTACCAACATTTAGATGAGGATCACCCAGGCACAAGTCACAGAAACCCTGTTCAAACATATTAGAGCCCCAGCTGGAGTGGGGCTTTAAAAAAAAAGGAAAATTTCGTCCCACATTGAGATGGGAATTATTAATTCAGTAGTCGGGTCGGTGGATTTTGTTTATATATCGATGAGTACTGTGTTAGCAACCAACTACTCAACTAACCTCAATTCTCGCGCTTAACTGGTTGCATTTCTATCTACATCCTCTTTATGTCACTGCTGCCATAGAAGACATTCACAAGTGATCTCCATTCTTGCTAGTCTGATGCTTTGTGGACAGAATTCCTATTGTCCTCCTCAGTGTTTCCTGTGGTCATCCACATCTCCTTTTCACCATCTGTCATTTACAGAAGAGCTGTCCTTGCCAAACTGTCAAGAGGCATTTGACATATGTCCAAGCCATCTCTATCTGCTTTTGATAACATTAACTATTTCAGTACCAGAAGATTTTGGTGGACAAGCCAGAGGGAAGAAATATCCAGGATAAACATTTATAAATGCATCACAGTAGTAATGGCCACTGGAGGAGCCAGATTTCTAATTATATTCTGATCGAATGTAAAATGTAAGAAAGCACACGAAGCTAAGGAGTGGATCCAGCAGATAAAGTTGTTCTCACAACATGCATTGTTGGGACTGAAAGAGTTAACAGTGACAGACATTTTACTTGGTGACTATAAAATAATTGTATTTAATTTATAATTTGAAACATTTAACCCTTTTAGCACGGGAAGTTTTTCAGAGGTCTAGCCAAAAACACGGAGCATTTTTTCAGTGAATTTGGTTATTACTTTAATTTTTTTGACAGATTTCTGTTATTCTGACCCCCATGAAATAATATATCTATTTGAAGGATATAGATTGAAGTTCATGATTTTCACAATATCGTAAAAATTAACTGATGTATATGCAAATTATCTCATTTGCATATCTAAAAATAGAACATTTATTTTTGAATTTTCAACTTCAATGCTTGAAACATAAAACTAAAAACAAATATTTTTTTTATTTGAAATCTTTTTATTGATCTTTGGTCTTTTTGCAAATGTTGTAAGCAATTCAATAGTCAAAAACAGGTATATATATATGAAACAGCAATAATATCTTTAGGTGACATGTGTTTTTCACCCTCAGTCAGCACAAGAAATGGATGTGCCGGAGTGTCAACACCTTCGGGTGGATATACCCTGAGCCATGGTTGGGCTGTGACTGAACACAACAGCGTCCCCATCTGATTCCCACTATTACTACTAACACTAAATCATGCATCAGTATCAACATAATTAGTGTCATCACTTGATTCAAATGTTTTATCAACATCAAGTTTAGGGCAGAAACATACGAGTCAGACATACTTTTAGCGGTTCAGGTCACTATCTAAAAAATTCAACAACAATTTTCACTTCGATACCAAACACTCGAAAGTCGCCATGTGTAAAGCTGATACCGCAGTTAATATAAATGAATCACTTTTAGTGTTTCAAAGTAGGAGATTTCTTAGCGGTTCGAGGCGAAACACGATCGGGCTGATCATCGGCCAGACATCCGCCGGCCGATAATCGGCCCGTCCGTGCTAAGAGGGTTAATTCAAACTGTACCCTCATTAGTTCAGCACTGCTAACTAACATTCAGCGTCATTTCTTGGTCAGGGTGATATTAGTGTTTATTTGTCCCTTTCTCGCCTGTAGGGTACACCATGGCAGCACCTGGTATGGTCATAAAGAAAACGCTGTGCCGTCTTCACAATGAAGGACAGCTGTAGTGCACCTACTGCTCTCTTTGGAAATATTATTACATAGTGAAGGCCCCATCTCTTCCAGGGTAGGATTCTCTTATTACTGTTCGAAAAAGCACAAAAAGGGTCTCTCTCCCCCCCCCCCCCCTGAAAAAAAAACCTTGAAAGAGGGGGGGGGGGGGGGGGGGAAGGAATTAGAAACAGGACCCTGCCTACTATTTGAGAATCATGAACACATACATGAAACTCTAAGCCACAGTGATCCTTAGGCGTGCCCTAATTAAAATTCACTATGAGAATAAACAAGGGTATTAGGGATTTGCAGGTTGGCTGCTCAACCCTTTACAGTTAGCAGGTGCGCAGACGTGTGGGGAAAGAAAATAAGTCGGTTGGTCATCGTAGGTTTTTACTATTTTTAGTCTACTGCAGTATAATATTAACATTTCGTTTTTTAACCATTTATTGAACTTCAATAAAAATTAAGAAGGTGAAAAAGATACGTTCAATGAACCAGTTCGATGCATTCATTTCTCTCTTCTCTTGACATTCAAATGATTAAATATTGCTTGCTTATTGTAACCCACCAGGACATCACACAAGCTATAAACACCCGGTGACACAAAGTGTCACCATACGGATGAGGATCACCCGTGGAGAGGTCCCGGAAACCACTTTTAGCCGTTAAATGGCCACAATTGTGGCCCAGCTTTATTCAGTGCCATTGGCAAAAGCCAGTGTGGGGCTTCAAGTAACGAAAAATTGATCACACAAGGGGACTGAGTAATTATATAAAATATTATTGGACGTCACCATTTGTACAGACTTGTGCAGCAGGCGCCGACTCCGTACACTGCAAAAGACTATGAACACAAGATGCTATGTTTACGCATCTGGGTGACAACGAATTTTGAGAATTCTTTATTATTTGGTTTTATTTTGCTGTTTTTCTACAAAGATAACTATTCAACAATGACATATCATAGACTTCCACTACTACCAAAAGATAAGGTTATAACAATACCTTTATGTCAAAAATAATACAATAACTGATTCAATCCTTGGGGTTAAAATTTAAAATCCCAAACTTGGGTACGTAATTAATTGATAGTTCCTAGTTAATACTGTATAGATTATACTTTTGTCATCCATTAGTACCGTTAACAGACAGCATGTTAAATTATATAATCAATAATCACTTAATTCAGCCACTATAAAGTACATTAATACATAATTATTATGTTATTCTCGCATAAGTAATGACTGAAAAACCGACGAATGTTCTTTTCATTATATACAGCGAAGATTAACAGTAACTAAACACGCCAACTAGGTACTGGGAACGCTGTGTTGTAGATAAAATAACTGACTTTATCTCAACAAACCTAACACTCACCATGGTACAGAAATCTGCTAGAACGTGAACCCACGACGACACAATAAGAAATCTAGTTCAGTTTGCCAGCAAAACAGGTTTTATACTGCGAGTTATCCAAGACCACAGTTTGTGTGCAGGGCTGGCGAAATTGTTTCGCAATGGTACATTTTTTTTTTTAAAGTTACCATAACCCAATAAATGGTACTTAATTTTAAATTTGTAATTAAAGAAATAGAGCGGTATTTTGCAAAACTCACACTCATATATATATATATATATATATATATATATATATATATATATATATATATATATATATATATTATATATATATATATATATATATAGGTTCTTTTTTTTTTTTTTTGTTAAGCGACCACATACGAGAGATTTAGGAAAATCACATATTTGCCCCCACCCACCCCCAATTGGGTTAGAGTTAGTAGTAGTCGCCATTCATTTAACGCTACCTCTAATCCTAACCCCCCTATAATATGGGATTTTCCTAAATCCCGCTTGATGTCGTCGCTAAAAAGCAAAAGAACCTATATGTGCACGCGTGTGTCTGCTTTTTTTGTCGTTTGGTATTACCTTATTCCTTTGCAGCTGCAGAAAGAGTTTTCTCTCAGTTTAACAATAGGGTATGGGGTTTTTTTTAATCGTTTTTCTTGAAGATTTGAACAATAAATGAATTGATAGCATAAAATTGTTGCTCCAATTATGAACAAATATAAGGGAAGCCAGATATATATATATATATATATATATATATATATATATATATATATATATATATATATATATATATAAATTATATATATATATATATATATATATATATATATATATATAGAGAGAGAGAGAGAGAGAGAGAGAGAGAGAGAGAGAGAGATAACCAAGGCTTTTCAGCATATTTGGTTGATCTCACACTATTAGTTTCCTCCACTCTTTATTTATTTAATATTTTTTCAAATAATATTCTACTGTAACAAGACTGGGAAATTTCATGAGCAATGACATAATTGACCTTGGTCTTTCAGTTGCCTTGATTGGATCCTATGCTACAATGCCAACATTTAAAATACTGATGTACAATTTGCAAAAAGTACCAAAACTGGTATCTTGAAAGATCAGAACATCAAGGAAGCTAGGCTAATAAACAGCATCCTGTCTCGAAAGCTGAAATATTTTGGTCATATCAAGCGCCACGACGGATTGGAACATATAATAGCAAAAGGCATGGTACCAGGAAGAATGGGCAGGGACCGACTAACACGAAGCTGGGCACAGAATATAAGTGACTCCTTGAGTATGAAAGTACATGAGGCGGGAGAGCTGGTGAGAGACCGAGTTTCTTTCAGGTATACCGTGGTGACAGCGACGTTCTGCAAAGGACCTGCTACATGATGATGATGACTAAAACATAAGGTGACGTACGTGGTACCGAAAGTACAGTACAGTTTTGCTCGGCAAGGATCAAATAGTACGAAATTTGTACGAACGTGCCAACCTCGGCAGCCCTGTTGTATCTATTATCTTTTCTCTCCCCTGCTCGCTCCATCAGCCCACTTTCTCGTGAACGCCAAAGGCTAACGCCAGGACGTCAGCAGACAAAGTCGGATACAGCTACATGTCGTGGGGAGGGGCACAGCTGGTCTTTCTGGTTCACAACATTCACGTTTTAAAATGCGTATATTTTATTTGCGACCCACAAAAAAAAAAAAAAATTTAAAGTGCGAATACTTAATAATGAAGCAGGTTAGTTGCATATCCTCCTGGTATTTTCTATTAGGCGACCACATCACGCGAGATTTAGGAAAATCCCAAAATATGGGGGGGGGGGGGGGGGGGGGGGAGGGGGGGGGGTTTAGTGTTAGTGTTAAATGAATAGCGACTACTACTAACCCTAACCCTAACCCCATCCCCCTCCCTATATTATAGGATTTCCCTAAATCTCGCGTGATCTGGTCGCTTAACAGAAATAAACCCATATCCTGTATAGATCGTCGATAACCAACCCTAACATTGGAGGTTGGGGGGGGGGGGGGGTTAATGAGTTTTCCTAGGCAATTTTGGCGTCTGTGGCTTAAGCGTTGCTGACACACTGCATAATGCCGGGGGTGCTGGGTTCGATCCCGCCTGCAGGCGATTTGGCAGCAGACCGCATTGCATTGGGTTCAACAATGGCATCGAAAGCCGACCGTCCAGTAAGTAATGACAAACGGTCCCCCTTTTTTTCACCCAATCTCGGTGACTCCGGGAATTCTTGGGAAGTTCCTGGAAAAGTCAAATATAATTGGGGTTTTGGTGGTGTTAGTTGGTGTTCATGTCACACCCTAACATCCCTATGCTTTTGGACTTTCCCGGTAACTCCTTTTTATAATTATTAACCAGAAAGAACGAAAAATAAAGCGTTCACCTATTATCAAAATCATTAAAAAAATCAGTAGATAAAATAGATTATAATGGTCTGTAGAAAATGAGGCACCTTGGTGTAACCAGGGGGTCTGGCTGGCTCACTACACTCAGAGGAAAGGCCAGACGGACACATAACCAGATTGTGAGTGGTACCAACAGTATTGTAACTGTGCTAGCTGCTGAAGATGTGGTATGCCCCGAGGTCTGTGATGTCAGTTGTTGACTTAACTCAAAATAACAACATTTGATTGTAAGCTTGTGCGTCTGCATAACGTTAAATAAATTTCACAGAAGACTTTTTTTCTAGGGGGAAACAAAAACATGTATCAATACTTCAAATCCAAAGGTAAAAAAAATTTTAAGTACCAGAAAAAAAAGTACCAGACTCAGTTCAAAGTGTCTATTTTAACAGCACTGAAAAACAAATGACAAATTAAAAAAAAGGTACCAATACTGTGCAACGACTTTGCATGAGTTGGTTGAGGGCCTATGCTCCACTTGGGGTTGGAAAGGCAGAAGAAGAAGACCAGTACTGAGTACTGCCAGTTTAACTTCATTACACCTATTTTGTGTTTAAAGGATACAGTCATGAAGTTTGACCTGCATGATTCTGACCGTCCCCATTTCTATGTAGTTGCAGTCACGGTTACATAACACCACGCCTTATCTGCAGAGCTGTCCTAAAAATAACAATCTTCGCCGAAAACACGCTTCCGTCAGACAAGCATCACTTGTGGTGTCTGTACTTCGCGACCTCTAGCAGATTACGGGACATTCACAGCTTCGCATGTATGTCTTTGTACACACACGCGTGTATTTTTTTTTTTTTTTACATGTACACATGTTATTTTAGGGTATGTAATCGGCGTTGTGCAAAAGCGCTCTGTGTAGATGGTTGTGCATTTAACACGGTCATGGATGCATGGTTGGCAACTTTCAGTCTTTGCAGACGGTAGTTTTGTATATTATAATTAGATAATTAATGTCGCGAACCCAACCTTATTATCCATTGTCGTCCCCTTGTGAGATGCAATTTTTCCTTATTTGAAGCCCCACCCTGGATTTTGGCGGGGACCCTGAATAAAGCCCGGCCATAAATATGGTCATAACGACTGAAAGGGGTGTCTGGGACTTCTCCACGGGTGATCTTCACCCGCATGGTGGCAGTTTGTGTCACCGGGTGTTTATCGCTTGTGTGATGTCCTGGTGGGACACAACAAGATAGAGAGAGAGAGAGAGAGAGAGAGAGAGAGAGAGAGAGAGAGAGAGAGAGAGAGAGAGAGAGAGAGCCTAACCATCCGAGAACGAGTTAATAAGAACACTATCAGACAGATCGTAGGAACAACCCCTTGTAATAGAGTCATCAAGAAACAGCAAATCAACATGTTCGGTTATCTCTTTAGTAAGTACGTTTTACCCCACCAGGACATCATATAGAGCGATAAACACCCGGTGACCCAAAGTGCCACCATTCAGATGAGGATCACCCGTGGAGAGGTTCCGGAAACCCTATTCAACCATTAGGTTATATTAAGGCCACCGGCAGCAGCCAGGGTGGGGCTTCAAAATAACGATAAACTGCATCCCACATGGAGACGACAAAGGTATACCATCTCTTTAGAATGCAGAAACATTAAATACCATCACAGGCCCTACATCTCATACGGTCAGCTATAAGAGTAAGAGGACGGTCACGAATTATTTGGATCGACAACGTTAAAGACACTTTACGCCCTTTAGGGAATATCTGTTTTATTCATGCCCCGCTTCTTAGAGGTTAATTTCTACATCCTCTGCTCATCAGTAATTCACCACAGAGAATGTCCTTAGGGACACAACCCTCTTCCATGTTCTAAGCCTTTCCCTACTTAAACATTGCTATTATGTCATTGCGCCTTTTAGCGCTCTTGTGTCATCATTTATGTGTTGGAACTCCGAAGGCTCAAATCCACACCCAGGTGGAAAATTTGTTTCCTTTCAAACACGACCTTGACTCCAAGGCAACCCAGTCTAAAGTGGATGTCAGGTAATCTGCTATGAAGTAACGGTGACCGGTGCGCCGTGGCGGTACCTGGTGTGGAAAATTTTCTGTCAACCCCCGGTTGATTACCGAGCAAATCACGGCCTAAACCTGCGGTTCTCAGCCTGTCGATTGCGACCCCTTTGGAAGTCGAACGACCATTTCACAGGGGTCGCCTAAGACCAACGCAAAGCACATATTACTGAAGTTATAAAGTAGCAACGAAAATAATATTATGGCTGGGGGGTCACCACAACATGAGGAACTGTATTAAGGGATGGTGCATAAGAAAAGGCATAAGAAACATTGATCTTCTTCTTCTTCTTTTTCTTCTTCTTCTTCTTCTTCTTCTTCTTCTTCTTCTTCTTCTTCTTCTTCTTCTTCTTCTTCTTCTTCTTCTTCTTCTTCTTCGCGTTCGTCAATTTCTGGTAGGGCTGTACCGAATGGTGATTTTCACTATTCGGACGAATACGAATAGTGAATCATCATCATCATGTGCTTTGCCGGCTGGCATGGGCGATTATGCCTCGCCACAATCTGCGATCTCCTGCAGCACGTATTAGTTCGTGTGCTGACACACCTC